GGGGGGGGGGGGGGGGGGGAGGGAACAAATCGTAAAACGATTTGAAATCGTAAAACGATATACCCGAAAGGGTATATGAGAGAAAAAAATTTAGAAAGGAAATTCTGTTGAATTGATATGAGAGTTCTATAATAATTGTATTGAAATATACTATTTATGGGTATATGACAATAGGCATTGATTTTTCTACGTAAGTTATTCTATTGAAAATTTTCTGTAAAAATTCTTGGACGTGATTTTTCTAATTTATTTTCTTTTAATTTATGAAGAATTCACGCGCAAGAAATTCTATTAAAAATTTAATTTCTATTTGAATTCCTATTTGCAGAAAATAATTCATAGAGAAATATTGGAAAACCTTTTCAATTTCCCGCAGTGAAATAGCAATTGAAAAATCGCATGACAGAGCTGCATGATTTTTTAACATGAAATCGGATTTAATTTCTGATTTAATTACTTTCATTTGCGAAACTGATAAGAATGAAGCATTGATGCGAAGGAAAATTAATTTCAAATCATGAATGAAATCCTTTGAAGAATGCCTTCTCATAAAAAAAATCATTCTTAAAATGTGGAAGATAAAGGGTTTAACGGATTTGCGACTTCAACCAATTTTTTTCGTTGAATTTACGATTTGATAATTGTGTCAGAAGATGGGAATAATCCTGAGAAAGTTTCGGAGTTTGGAAGTCGTGAGAATCCCCCGGTGGGCTAGTGAAGATGACGAGAATACCAGACAGTGCCAGACACGTAAACGACGACCTAACAGTTTTACTCGGATCGGAGTCTCCACACCCTTTGATTTTGTGAGTAGAAGTATTGTATTTACGATGTCGACAGCAAGAGAACAGAACATAAATTCTGGTTCTTGTCTTTATGAAGCGGATGATTCAATGTGGGCATTTAAATAATTGTTACTTAAATCCATGACATTGCAGTTTTTATTTTTGCTTCCGAATGGAAGCTTTGTAATTGTTCAAATTTAAGTTTTGGATTTTCGATCGCCGTTAATTAAAATTTAATTTATTCATTAGTTTTTTTAATTTTCGAATTTTTTCGAAAATCCGTTGTCCCACGATAACTAAAAGAAATGTTCTGAATTGATTGAATGATGGCTTAAAAAATTTGTTTGGATGTCCTTTTGACCATGTTCGAAGATGAAAGCGATAGCAATAATCGTTATTTTGATTTATTTGAAAATTTACAAAAATTTTGTATTTTTGAAAATCAGAATTCTGGGGATATCTTTGAATATCATGCTTCAAATGAATTCAATCATAGCTTAAAATGTGTGTTTTAATACCATTAAGTCGAAGTTAAAAGATGATTACGATAGCTATATTGGTTGACTTGATTTTTATGATGATTTTTGAAAATTTCGAATTTTTCATGAATTTCCCTGAAAGCTTTCTGATGGTTTCTTCAAATGTGATATTTCAAATTCATTCAAGTATGTGTAAATAAAATTTTTCTATTAACATTTTATCGAGGGGCTCAGGGAGAGACAGAACCGTAAAAAAGACAATCGGTTGTATAGAAGAAAGGGGTAATAAGAATAATGATGATGATAACATTCAACTAAATTGAAAAACTCACAAAATTAGTTTTAAAAAATCTTACTCATACTAATCAAATGAAATGATCAATGAATTATACATGATACCAGGAAGTGATGTGTAAAATAGCCATTTGGAAGCATATTGTTAATTTATTAGCAAAAATAATTATGCTACATGCAATACAAGAACAATTTCCCACTTGTTTTTATTTATACATGGTCGCAATTGATCTAAGTCTACATTTTGAAAAAAGTTTATAAAATGATTGTCAAATATTTTGTTTCTGCGCCAATTCCGTCTGAGTGTCAAATACAAATAAATCATCGCAGTATACCCTAACCGGGTCGAAGCGATGTAAAATGACGATAAATAAAAAATATATATACAAATGAACAAATTTTCATCCACTTCATTGAAAGAATCGACATATTAAAATCCACAAACTCAATAACATTCAATAATTCAAAAACCCCTGAATAATTTTCCCCATTTCTTCAACTTTGTTATCTTAGGTGCACCCCACGAGCCTTTAAATCACGTCCCCCTCGCCGAAATTACACCGACGACAGAATAATAGACATCAGACCCTTCCGCCAACAGATTCCAATCCAAATTTACGACCCCCAATTGTTACAAACGCGGTGTTGACTCACTGACAAGAAGAAGAAATGCAAAAAATGTGGTTTTTAGGTCAGCCATCGCATTCATTGGGATTCGGTGGTGACGAAAATGCTTCAGACCGCCCACTGTTAGCGTATGACACTCTCTGGCCCGTACTAACTGCCTGTTGGACACTCAGATGAGTGGTGACTAGGCACTTTCATCCTGATTGGCCCGTTGATTTTTCAGACAAGATCAAACTGAGGAAAGGAGCCCCCTCCCACGTTTTCACAATACGACAAATGCACTCCTACGCAGCCACTATCACTGACAGCTGTCTTTTTATTCTGTTACTTTTATCTCGGTCTTCACTGGGCGCCGGTTGGCTCGGGGGGACAGTCGAAACCCAGAGTTTATTCGAATTTTGTGACTTGAATAATTTTGAAAAAAATATTGAGTGACTTGCTGAGGGGCTGAGGATGAATCCTGCGGATAAAAAGTGCACAATTTTGGTGTTACCACCCACTCCGCCGACTCCTCAGAGTCCCATGCATCCGCATAATGTTGAAATCGAACGGTTTTGGAATTATTCGAATTGTGGGCAGTTCAGTCATGAAGAAAGTTCAGTTGTCAATAAGAATCAACAATTAAGGTGAGATGGAAGAGAGGGGGAGAAGGGAAGAATTTTAGTTAAATAGAAATTCAATAGAATTGTCTAGCGAATTCGCTAGATTTTTCTATGAAACTTTTTCATACGTGATTCCATAAGGGAAACAGAATGTTTATTCCGAACAATCCAGTAAAATAGATGTCCTGCCCTAATTCCATTACTTCTCCACGAATTTTCAATAAACAACTCTCAAGAAAATGATTCATACAGAAAAATTGTAATAAATAAACAAGAATAAACAGTAATAATGAACAATATAAATAATAATAAAAATGTTCTAAAATTTTTATTGCTTTGGAATTTTTTCGCACATGTTCGAACTAAAATTTGTTCCATCACTTAACGACTGGAACTATCCTAGTTCAAACATCAGATGGCAATACTAATCTCTGAAATATTCACACCCGAGCTACCAAGAACTTTCAGCTCATCAAGATTCTCTAAGAAATTCCATTGCTCATCCATCAATTTTCAATAAAAAATTCTCAAGAGAATAATTCATACAGAAAAATTAGAATAAAAAATAAGTGAACGTATTTAATCGAATTCAGCTAAAACTCTGATAGAAATAAAAATAAATAAACAATTATAAAAAACAAATAATCATAAACAATTGAAATAATAATAGAAATTCACAAAAATTGCTATCGTTGTGGAATTTTCTCGCACATGTTCGAACTAAAATTTATTTCATCACTTAAAGACTGGAATTATCTTAGTTCAAACATCAGATGGCAATATTAATCTGTGAAATATTCAGACCCGAACTACCAAGAACTTTCAGCTCATCAAGATTCTCTAAGAAATTCCATTGCTCATCCATCAATTTTCAATAAAAAATTCTCAAGAGAATAATTCATACAGAAAAATTAGAATAAAAAATAAGTGAACGTATTTAATCGAATTCAGCTAAAACTCTGATAGAAATAAAAATAAATAAACAATTATAAAAAACAAATAATCATAAACAATTGAAATAATAATAGAAATTCACAAAAATTGCTATCGTTGTGGAATTTTCTCGCACATGTTCGAACTAAAATTTATTTCATCACTTAAAGACTGGAATTATCTTAGTTCAAACATCAGATGGCAATATTAATCTGTGAAATATTCAGACCCGAACTACCAAGAACTTTCAGCTCATCAAGATTCTCTAAGAAATTCCATTGCTCATCCATCAATTTTCAATAAAAAATTCTCAAGAGAATAATTCATACAGAAAAATTAGAATAAACAATAAGTGAACGTATTTAATCGAATTCTGCTAAAACTCTAATAGAAATAACAATAAATCAACAATAATAAATGATAAATAATAATAAACAATTGAAATAATAATAAAAATTCACAAAAATGGGTATCGCAGTCGAATTTTTTCGCACATGTTCGAACTAAAATTTATTGCATCACTTAATGACTGGAATTATCCTAGTTCAAACATCAGATGGCAATACCAATCTTCCGAAAGTTCACACCTCAGCTACCAAGAACTTGCAGCGGATCAAGATCCCAGGTACTATTCAACCCTCTGTCAATACCCAACAAGTGTCATATGCGGTGTGCACAACTGGGAGGTCCCGTACCAAGAGGCCACAACACCATTGCCATCGGAAAACGGTACACAGATTCCCATGGATTACGATCAGTCCGAACATTCCACGGATAACCAGGATGACCATACCATCATTCTGTCCAAGCACACCCAATATGGCAAGTTGTTTATGTACAAACTGTTTCTTTATTCCTCATGAATTTTTATTCTCTATGCTGCGAGGCAATTCACATTGGCATTTATTTCAGTGCGTTGTCACTTTAGTATCATTTTGTACGGAATTTAATGGCTTTAATGTCGCCTCCAATGTGGCTATAATCTACCTAAGCTAGTCTAAACATTTATGTTATTGCATTGACAATTTTACTGCTTCATTTGAGGATTTTTATTTTCTCTCGTGTTTTTTTCCGCGCGTTAATGAAATTTGTTGATAACGTTTTTTGAAGAATATTTTATATTTTTATTCAATCATTTATTATTTAGTGGTTTAGCGATTTGTATCAATGAAATACTACTCTGAGGATTCATGTAAGAACAAATTTCATAGAAAAGCCTAGGGAATTCGCTAGATAATTCTGTGGAATTTTCTATTAATTTTTGGCCGATTCTATAGAAGGGTTCAATAGTCATTATTTTATACAAAAAGTCAATACAATTCGATTTTTCTAGACAACTTATTCCATTGAGATATGTTCGATAGGATTTCCTCGACTCAAATTTTCTCAGTTTTTTTGTTTGATTTTCTTGATGGAAAGAAGAGAAAAATAGAATGAAAAAACTTGGAAAATTTGAGCCAAGGAAATTTTATAGAAAAAACGAATTCTATTGACATTTTCTATAGAATATTTCCTATTGAAAATTTTAATAGAATCGGCCAAAAACTAATAGAAATTCAATAGAAATCCAATAGAATTTTCTACAGAATTCGTTAGGGTTTTCTAATGATTTTTTTCGTGCGTATCAGCAAGTTAGAAATTGTTTCATTTACATATGTTAAAAAAAATTGAAATTTCAGATTTCATTATTATCCTACAAGGGGAACAAAATGTTTATTTCCAATAACACAATAAAATAGATGTCTTGCCCTAATCACTCGATACTGCAGTAAAATTTCTACAGTTTGTCTGAAAATAAACTGACAATTTATTGTCTATTTCATAGGAAAAAAAGTGAGAATTGCTTTCGTCAAAACATAGTCAATATATTTATGCAAATAAATTAGCAAATTACTTTCAAAAGAAATATTTATGACGATGTATTTGAAATTGAATTTTTTACCTTCTCCTGAATATTTGTTTCAAAATGAATTTTTTCAACAACAGATAATGCAATCAATATCATGATCGATGAGAAGAACATTTTAAATTACAATTGGATTCATTTAAACAATTATTTCTTCGAAAGCAAAAATTAAAAAATAAGAAAGTCCTTGGCTGAAGGTCCTCGGACAATGGCCTATTGTAAGAGATTTATTTTTCGTGGATTTTTCTTACAATAAATTTCGTTAAAAAAAATTAAATTAAGAAAGTCCATTCATCGAGGCTATTCATGTTGAATTCTGCTCACGATATTGCTTCATGAATGAAAAAAGTATAGGAATTTACTTCTTAATATAAACATTCCGTACAAAAAATTGGATTGAATTCTAGCGTCACTCCATCACCAATATCATTCTCCAATAGTATATATGGAGCTTTCAGAATGGACCAGATTTGATGGGAAAATTATAGAGACTCGTTTACGTCGTGTCTCAAGTGCCAGCGGTCACTCCCTTTTTTATCATTCAACAACTTTCCTTCCGGGGTATATTCCCAGGGACCAGATAACTCATAGCGGTCCAGGGAATTGGATTCTCGAGACATGAATGGAACTTTAATGAGTTCAAAGCCAATAAAAAATTGTACCTCATTATCTCTAATTTATTTTCCTTTGCCGTTCATTTTTCCTTTTTGTCGTGAAATCGATCGATCGAATTCACTCGATTTTCCTTAATTCATGTTTAATATTGTATTTTGATTTGATAGTTTGAGCAGTCGTGGGATAGCTACTGAGAAGCGTCGGCGCACACCCGCAAATAACATCCATTTTTTTTTCATAAGACAATTACGTCATTTGGTCCATGCCGCTGTCGTTAGGCGGCACAAAAGGCGGCTTTTCTGGAGATCTAGATCTCAGATGAAGAGCGAATGAGAGCTCATGATTTTTCGACATGAAAAACGAAAAAAAATCGATTTTTCAGAATCAATTGCTATTTTTAACCCTAGATTGGTCACTATATGAGACATATTAAGGCTGACGAAGTGAAACGTCTGTAAACCCGTACACGGAGAGAAATATTTAATAAAAATGACGTCTCTTTTCCTTAATTCCGAGCGAAATGTGATTGTAGGAAATTTTGCGGAACTGTCACGGAATTTTTCCGTGACAGTAATTTTTACTGAATATTTCTCTCCGTGATAACGGTAGTAGAAATGAAATATGAATGAAAATAAAAATAGTTTTGAACATTTTTTATTTAAAAAAAACGCGCATACTAAGAGAAAAATTGACATAATATCACAAAAATCATTTCTTGAGCGAAAAACATCGCATACATATTTGATCAGTTTATGGTAGGTTTCAGACAAGAAATCGGTGCTCTTCAGGCTAAGGACGAAGTTACTGAATGAAAAGGTGATGTCTTTTTTCGAAATGAGATAATATTCCTTAAAAGACAAGAAGAGTTCGACGGAAAAAAAAGAAGATATTGCTTCCCTTCGAACTCAAAGTGATTGAGCGTCAGCGACGGTTATATTTTTTTAATCTGGAAGTTTTCCTCTGCATGAACTCTCTATTCATTTAATATGAAAGTCTCTGATTCATGATTCACTGAATCGAAGCTTCTAACATTTTTAGTCATTTTCTCATCTTCTGACACGAAAAAAACGATCTCTTGTGGCAAGGAATTCTCACTTTATCATGAAATGTTCATGTTCAAGTCATGAACACTTCACCGAAATCTGACATTGTCTGACGGATTATACGGAATTCTTATCCTAAGAAAATTATCCTCAAGAGATGAGATATTTGGCGCAAGAAATTAGTTTTGTGATATTATGACGATATTTCTTTCAGCGCCGTGAAGCTGCGAATTCTTCAGTAGAATCGCCCAAAAACTAATTGAATTCTATAGAAGTTCAATTTAAATTCAATAGAATTGTTTAGCAAATTCTTTAGGGTTTTAAATGAAATTTTTTCGGGCATGTCAAGAAGTCAAAATTCATGAATTTTAGAACCAAAACTCCTCATAAAATACAATTATCTATGAACATAATCCTTAAATACAATAAAAAATCTTTAAAAATAATCTTTCAATACAATTATTCTAGATTTGAGTAAAAATTTCTGAGAATTAGAACTTTTCCTTAGATATTTCAATAATAAGTGAATCAAAAAATTAAAATCTCAGTTATTCTCAGAGAATCACGACAGCGTTCTGAAATCCGAAGATATTTACTAGAAATTAAATCCATCGATTGTTTATAAATTGGACGAGAAAAATTCTCATTGTCTTCTTCAGATGTGAAGACGAATTCCAAGAAGAATCACGACGCTAAGCCGAGGAAGGAGAGGACAGCCTTCACGAAACAACAGGTTCGTCACTTGGAGTATGAGTTTGGACATAGTAATTATTTAACAAGATTACGGAGATATGAAATTGCGGTGGCCCTTGACCTAACCGAGAGACAGGTGAGGATTTTTTAATGTTTCGAACACCCTCTCCCTCATTACGTGCGCGATTGTGGCCTCCGGAGTTCACGGACGAAAACGAAATTATAAAAAAACTAGCGCTTTCTTTGAAAAATTCTATTAAAACTGTATTTGTTTTTGGGTCAATTCTATTGAAGATTATGCAATTTTACTCTCATTTTGTTAAGAGATATTTGATAGAAAAATGAATATTTTTGAAGGTTTTTTAAAAATTATTTTTCCATCAGAAAGAATTTGTTGTTTTAAGAGAAAGTAATTTTTTTGCGAGGAAAATTAATAACGTCTGTAAAATCAAAAGAAATGGATAAAATTTATTATGAAAAATAAATTTATTCGCACATTAAAAAAATATAGAAGGATAACGTTTTAAAAAAACAAAAAAAAACAAGAAAAATGTAAATTTCGCCAGTTTATTCAAACGATTTTTATTTCTGAACTTGCAAAGTTTGAGAATAAATTTTTTATTTAACTTTATGAACTCAATAATGTAAAAATTGATCGTGGAAAGCCCACATAGGCATTCAAAAATCAACATAGGCTTGGCGAAATAGATTGCTGGCCGAAACGTGAATTTTTCATTTTGAAATTTTTTGACGATCACTTCTCCAATTTTGTTCTCAAATTTGAACATAATAAAAGTTGACAGTAACTCCTTTTTAATGAATAAATGAATACACAATGAGCAAAAATAATTTTAAAAAATTATATTTTATTAATAATTTAATAAAATAATAATATAAAAAGTAAAAATTCGTGGTGAACAAATTCCATTAAATAAAATATTCATGTCTGATCTTTCAGGTGAAAGTCTGGTTCCAAAACCGCAGAATGAAGTGGAAACGAACGAAGAACGTCACAGAAAGCAAAAAATCCCTGGAGATGTCCCCAATCATGGAATCGAACTCAGACAGTTCCGGGGAAATTTGCTAGCATAAAAATACTCATAAGCACTGAAGGATGGAAGACAGGATACAAATTGTAGTCTAAAATGCCAAATAATATAATAAAATTTATGAACATGTATTTAAATTTCTACATCGCCCAGCTTCATCTTGAAATCAATGCCCTCATTTTTCAACAGCTGCGACAACTTCGAGAGTTTGCTGACAGTTTTTTGGACGAATTTCTTGTGCTCAGAGTTTGGTCTTGGGGCATTGGCAATACGAATGGCCTTCATTCTCGTTTTCAATTTGGGATGACCTCCGATTTTCCAGTTTGAGCCCTTGAAATAGTGCTCGTGCTGCTTCTCTGGTGGTATGTATTCAGCTGGAAGCAAAAGATTAATGAGTTACTCTGGGAAAATTAAGGGAATTAGTAATAAATCAGCTAATTGATCGAATTATTTCATTGTAAGTCACCTTTTACAAGTCTTCCACTCATCAAATAATTATTCATAGACTCTGCTGCGATTTTTGCTACTTCTGGGTGGACGAATTCGACGTAACCATAGCCTTTACTGCGTCCTGTCTGTTGGAAGTGAAAAATCAATGCATAAAATTGATTAAAATAGTTTAAAAATGGAAAAAAAATTCAAAAATTTAATCCATAAATTCACTGCACTCAGCTTTTTCTGAAATTCACTGTTTTGTGAAACAAAACCATTAATTCATCAATTAAACAACAATCAAATTGCCAAGTTTACGTAATTCTTGAGTAAATGAGATTGAATTCATCGAATTTCCATGAATTGATTACTGAGTTTCAGCAAAGTAATTGTTTATTTATTTGTATTGATAAATGGTTGAACTTACGATTTTAGATCTTGAAACTCGAACTCTTGTGACTTTTCCAAACTGTGAGAAATAGTCCTTCATCTGCTCCTCATAGAATCCGTGTGGTATGTGTCCAATGTAAATCAATCCTCTTCCAGATTGTGCCACGTCTCCTGGTTCCTTCTTCACACTAGCTTTCTTTATTTGTTTCTTTCCCTTCGTTCTGTCGACTCTGATGAAATCCTGGGTTCGCCTTTTCGCTTTTTCGTCTTTCTTTTCTGTCTTCGCTGGCCTCTTGAGCACTGCCTTTGTTTCTTTCTTTACCACTGCGTTTACTTTCTTCTTTGTTTCTTTCTGAAATGTACACACAGATAAGGACATGAAATTTCAAAGAAGTCTACGTCCACTGAAATGTCGATTGCAATAGTTCTGTGATGGTTTTCTCAAAGGATGGAAAATTATCCGCAGAGTACAGATCCTCAAAGTGGTAAGACTCATAAGTCATTGCATTATTTAATTGGATAAAGACAATAAATGCACCTGAAGAGAAATACTTCGTGCATTCGAAACCTAGTGCAATTAAACTAGTTTACACATTTTTTTTGTGTTCATTATTGCTGTTGACCGAAACATGGCCCAGAAGAATTTGAATAATTAAAGACAATACTTACATTTGAAAAAAAAAATTAAATTCCATCCATTCATTAGCGAACAATTGAGGACAAACTTTCTTACAAACGTACGCACATACAAACACCCGTACGGACGAGGTCTAGAATTACATTTTTAGACTGTTAGGATCATACTGGGTCGATATAATACAAAAAATCCAAAACCTGAATTTGAACGATTACAAAGCTTCCATGCGGAAGCAATAAAATAATTCTTTTAACAAAATAACCATTCGCAAGCATATTGCCAATTTCCTACTTGATATTATTGTTTGGAAGTTTTATACTTCCAAATCGTTCAGTGCCTCACAGATAATTCAATCACAATTAATATCACATGATTGAATCATTATTCGGGAACCATTAATAATGAAATAACATGTTTGTCACAACCTTTAAATAACTAATGGGTTAATTACTAGATATGTGATGCAAGTTTCATGATTTTTTTATACTACAATAGATTGTCAAATAGGATTGGTTTTTGGTAGTGTTTCATGGCAACAATATTGTTTGTTTATCTGCAGAATAAATGAATGGCCTGATAAGAACACTTTGTGTGTTCGAAACAGTGGAAATTGGTGGAAGAATTGTTTTATATTTTTTCTTTGGATTTTTCCTGTATTTATTTTTATTCGAGTTGTTGCTACGATCGTTAATGGCTGAAGAAGTTGGAGTTTTTTGATTAAAATAACTCGTTAATAATACGAAATAATTTAAAAAAATTCACAATATCACCAAAATCTAATATTGACACCCAAATCTGCAAATTCCATCTCGATAACCACCAAAAAATATTATTTTAAAATCCAAACGAATTTTACGCGTTAAATTGTTTGGGAGCAAGACAGGTTATGTGAACACGTGATGTTTTATGCTCACCTTCAATATCTCTTTGACATTCTTCACCGCTTTCTTGAGGGTTGACTCTCCAGTTTTGGATTCTTTCTTCACTTTGAGAGCAGGTTTTTGCTTGCGATCCCTCCTAGTCTTCATTTTAAACTATTTGAAACTGTTGAAATGCTCAATTTTCACTCCGCTCCGAAACGTGGGAGCAATATTTACAAATTCACCCAGTACGCTCTGCAGAGATTATAGTGTTCGTGCGCATGCGTCGCGTCGCGCGTTCAAGATGGCGGCTGCACAAGTCGTTCTCTCGGC